GTGGTCACAGCATTGTGGTGGCAAGCCCACTGGAGACGTCTACTGCAAGGACAGATTTGTTATTTCAACAGTTCTCTCTCTCTCCTTTAACCCCTCTATCCACCTTCTTTCTCCATTCACTTTATCACACCTGTGGCTCAACTTGACCTTTTACAGAGAAGTCATAATAACGTCTCTCCTCAAACTTCAAACAACTTCAACTGTCACTCTTGTTTTAATTCATCACTGCTCTGACTTGGGCCATGGAGGAAAAAAAAAATTAGCAGTGACAGATGAACTGGACACGTAGGACGACAAGAATGAAAAATAAGCTGCTCTTTGTCACTGAACCAACTGTTGTGACACCAAGAAAACCCAGTCGGCCGCATGGGGTAGTTTAACCCAGATTTATTAGGCTTGGCCCTACAGTAAGAGTACACTGTAGGTGACAAGGTGTACATGGATGATGAAAATAAATAGCATACAATAAACTGTTCTTGCACTCACGTTAAATAAAAGTTAACTTTTCCACTGAGTGTACTGCTTTACTTTGGGGTGCCACCAAGCACATTAAGAAACCATAATCACATCTGCTTTCTAAATTGAACATCTCTGACTTCAAGAACTGAAATGATGAAATACCCCCCGTGGTCTTACGTGAGAGTAAAACCAAAAGCACATAATGACTTGACAAGGCCAGCCTGTTAAGGCGCCAAATGAACTGACCAACAAAAGTCCAACAAAAATGGACGGAAGTAGGGAAAAAGACGCACTCAAATTAAGTATGCAAGTGTAAATTATCTCAGTTTAAAAAACCAAGAGCAACTACTCATACTTTATTTTAGGAAACATAGGAAATTTAACTATCTGTAACATCTATATCAAATCTGTAAAATGTGATTTTCTTATATCTTGACAAAAACAACATTTTGGGCATAATCAGCTTTCAGCATGTAACCTCAGCTGCTAATTAAGTTTTATCTAATCTCCACATGAATTATTTTAAGAATTTTTACACTCACCCTAAACTACTGGCGCAGAGATGAAGATTTTTTTTGTCCAAAACCAACTAAGACCACATCTGTCAAATATGATTATTTCCCCTTTGGGGTATAGACTATGAAATAAATGTGAAATTCCCTTAAATTCCCAGGGAAAGATGGTGATTACGGCTGGCTGATGGTGGACACTTAGCTTCCAGCACATTACTGGGCCACGGCTTTGGTTCCAGTGTTATCTGCATAGGAATGATTCAGCCGAGTAAGTGGACGTAACTACACAAAGCATTTTCCATTCTGTAGCTGCACTGTACTGTATAGCACATTGTCATCTGTTTCCCTGATAGTGAACAGGATTTGACCTGGATCATGTCACAATGCCATGAGCCCTGACACTGGTACAATTATTCATCTCAGTTGATATGACTTTTGTATCATCATGAAGGCTTATGGTGACATGTTTGTCCAAATACACTAATATAACTAAGCTACAGATGATTCACCTCAGTTAAATTGAGATGATTCATCTGACTCATTAGAAAAAGGAGTCTCCATTCCAGCTTGAACTGAATCAGCTCCCATCCTAGTCTGATGTCCACAGTCAGACAGCAGGATGTAATCATGACCGGGATTACTTGACTTGTTGTGGTCACAGAGGGCAATGATCAAAGCTGTAGCTTCATGTGGTTTGTATATTACAATATCACCAATGGGTTTATTCGCGCTGCCACACTCCAGGTTGCTTACTATATGTGACTTAGAGTCTACAGGTATTGCTCAATGCTGAGCATATAATGATGCTTTGACATACGTCTCCAAATTAAAGTCGACTAAATTAGATATAGCAAGAAACACCTGTCTATCAAACTAAATATCTGAGGGTCACAATGAGGACATTCAGATCTGCTGACATCATGTTGAAACCATGTATGTTCATATCACAAGTTCAGTACCACATGAAATTTATGTAACCCCGCCACCCAGATTTATCTGTTGCTATGGACATTAAATGCTGAACCCAAACACAGGACTGACACATTCAGAAGTAGTGTTAAACTTCTGAGAATTGTTGTCTCCACCCACCTAAACTGTAAATGAGTCAATCAGTGAGCCATCATGGCTTTTATGTCATGCCTACTGCCTGGTCCATATTATTAATCCTGTCCTGACAGAAAGTCTTTAACAAGTTTCCTGTAAAAGACAGTAAGATATCAGTCAGTCAAAAGCATCCAAAGCAATGACTGTCTATTCAAATGGCAAATACTCAAGTTTCTACTTTGATCGTGTATCAGGACAAATGCAGGCACAAGTATAGACAGAAAAACACTCTCTCACACACATGCATACTTGTACTTTTATCTTCGTGAGGGCACTCATTTAAATAATGCATTCATACTTGTCCTCTTAGATCTCAGTGCTGCTTTTGACACCATTGATCACAGCATCTTACTACAGACACTTGAACATGTTATTGGGATTAAAGGAACTGCACTAAGTTGGTTCAAATCTTATTTATCAGAAAGATTTTGATTTGTTCATGTTAATGACGAATGTTCCACACAAACTGAAGTTAGTCACGGCGTTCCACAGGGCTCTGTTAGGTCCAATTCTCTTCACTTTATACATGCTCCCTTTAGGCAACATTATCAGGAAGCACAACATAAATTTCCATTGCTATGCAGATGATACTCAATTATATTTGTCTATGAAGCCAAATGAATCAGATCATCAAGCATGTCTTAAAGACATAAAGGCCTGGATGGCCTTTAACTTCTTACTTCTAAACTCTGATAAAACTGAAGTCATTGTGCTTGGGCCTGAAAACCTTAGAAATCTGCTGTCTATACATATAGTTACTTTAGATGACATAGCTCTTGCCTCCAGTACTGCTGTGAGGAACCTTGGAGTCATTTTTGACCAGGATATGTCCTTTAAATCA